TATTGTGTCGGACAGAGACATAGTGTTCCTCAGTCAGTTTTGGAGAGAACTGTTCAGAATGCAGGGCACAATTTTCAAGAGGAGCACCGCATACCACCCATAGACAGATGGACAGACAGAAGTGGTTAACCGGAGTTTGGAGACATATTTGAGGTGTTTTGCCTCTGAAGCACCCAGTAAATGGGCTAAATGGTTGCCGTGGGTGGAGTACTGGTATAACACTTCGTACCATTCGGCATCCCAGATGACTCCGTTCAAGGTGCTCTATGGAAGAGACCCCCCACACTTAGTACATTATGGGAAGGAAAACACACCTGTCTCTTCAGTCGAACAGTACTTAGAGGAGAGGGACCGGGTGTTGGAAGAGTTAAAGAAACATCTGGAGAGGGCACAACAAATAATGAAGAAGCGAGCATATACACACATAAGAGACATACAATATGAAGTGGGGAAGAAAGTGTTTTTGAAGCTAAGACCCTACAGATAGAGATCAGTGGCTAGCAGGAGGAACGAGAAACTGGCCCTGAGATATTTTGACCCCTATGAGATCTTGGGGAAGGTTGGAGCAGTAGCGTATCGTCTGAAGTTACCCCCCTCCGCTACTATACATCCAGTGTTCCGTGTGTCATAGCTGAGGAGAGCCCTGGGGGAGCACGTAGTTAGCGCCGAATTACCAACAACAATGACGGAGGATTGGGAAGTGATGTTAGAACCCATAGAGCTTATGGGGGTAAGATCAGATCAAGAAGGCAACAAGGAAGTGTTGATTCAATGGAAGGACGTCCCTGAGTGCGATGCGACTTGGGAGCCGTTTGAAAGAGTGAAAGAACAATTCCCCTCCTTTCACCTTCAGGAGAAGGTGAGTTTTTGGGAGGGGAGTAATGTTATGCCTGGACCGGTCCCAGCAGGACCGGTCCGGTTCTACACCCGGCGGCTCAAAGCCAGGCGGAGAACAGAGAGGGGAGCGGGATTTCAGTGGGCCCGAGCATGGGAAAAAATGCATTGTTGGAGGGAGAATTTTGAATGAGGGGTTGTTTTAGGAAGTCCATTATTGTCCTTTATGATTAATTTGTATAATTAGGAGATTGGGGGGAATTGGCTCCTCATCTTGAATTTTGAAATTTAATTTGAGATCTAGGTTTTGTTTTGTGCTCTTGGCATCGCCGGAGATTGTGGAAGTACGTTCTTCCTCTCGGATCGAAGAACAATTGTAACTTGATTATTTTGCTTTACTTCTAGTGGAATACAAGTCCCTACTTGTGTTTTCTCTCATTTTCTTCCTATTTCTTGCTGTTTTATCGCTGTGGACAGCAATTTTATTGATTTTGGCTAGGAAGTCTTGTGATATAAGTACTTCCTATCAGTATCACATGCTTCTAAACTACAATAACTAAAGACAGTAAAAGAAATATGTTTGATGTCACTTTTCATTCTATATCTTAAATTTTATTTCAATTAAACATATCGTTTATTTTATCAAGAATTTAAATGTATAACATTATGCATAAATTATAAATATATATCATATCATATTCAATTTACATTCGTCATATCTGTATTTATATCTTTCTCATTTTTATATATAGTACAACCGTCATAGTAACCACCGTCTAATTTAGTACCAATGAAGGTACACCTTTACCATTTTCTTTTCCTTTTCCATAACTTTTTCCTTTTCCATAACCTTTTCTTTTTTAACGTGCAAGGGTACAGCCTCCCCAGCCATTATCATAAGGGGGTGAGCTCCATCTTTGAATAAGCACATGCAAACATTCTATATGAATCATATCATTTACATTCTTCGTATTATGTAACATTGAATTTTATAATGAACATCATCATAATATATAATAAAAGATATATTATTTTATTTAAAGAATTGAGCAATTAAATAATAAGATGATCATTTGTTTTTAAGAGAAATCATGTAACATTAACAGTGAACGATTAAATAATAAAAATTTTGGTGCATCAAGTGTAAGAGAAACAAATATTATTACTGTAATTAAAAATATGAGTACTCACTTGATTCGAGGCATTTGATTTCTTCGCTCGTACTCCTTCGAGGTCACAAGATTAACACCTATATGAAATAATTTCGCATTCATAAGCTAATTTAATAATTACAATTTTAATTCTTCTTCTCTTATAAATATACCATAGGCTCTCTCTCTCTCTCTCTTTATATTTTTGTATAATTTCACTATCTACCCAAATTAACCTATTTCCAAATACCTAAATTAATTTAAAATAAACCTAATTTTCGGATTTAACCTAAAGCCCTAAATTTGGATTTTCATTAATATCTATATTTTAGCATGCCAAACCTTCCCAATCATTTAAATAAATAATTAGGGCTTTCTATTTTCATATTTAATTTAATTAGAAATTTAGAAAAATAATATTTTGTGAAAAATCCCAAATTTTCACCAATAGAACCTTCCTAAGATCCTTAGGAATAAAATTTGTTAATAAAATTTCATAAAAATCAATCATTTGGAAAAAATCCTAATTTTTGAAACCTAAGAATAATTTGGGAAAACTTAATTTTAATGGTTAGAAATCATCCCTCAATCTTCCCAAGTATTCTTCTTTTAAAAATATTAAGTTTTTTATAAACCCTAAAATTTTCATCTTAAGAAAACTAAGCGAAAGAGGAGGAAATATTTGTTTAGGAACTTACCTTCTTCCTCCCTAAGCCTTCCCCTTCGATTTCTCCCAAAACTGTCGTCGGAAAATCGCCCTAGCCGCTGTCTTGGACATCTTGCCACCACCCCCTCTCCCTCTCTTGTTCGACCAACCGAAACGACAATGAAGTGACCGATGTTTCGGTCCCTTCTATGCCCTTTTAGGTGGTGGGGAAAAAGGGGAAAAGCCAAATGTCATAATCACCCTTGCATGAATTTGTTTCATGAAGACTTTGAAGGGTTATTTAGTAATTTTCTCATAAATAATATTTGACGATTTTTAATTTCGAATCCAAGCAAAATTAGCCATAAGTTCTTTATACCAAATCATTTGAAATTTTATTTAGAATTTTATAAAAATTATTTCGTCGGATTCCGACAATTCAAAAATTTGCCTATTTTCGTCACAGTGCATCGAATTACGAGCGATGCTTACTATCGACATTTTCGGGTTTTACACTAATGATAACCGATGAACATTAAAAAAAGTTTAATGCATATTATGCATAGAATATAACTATTGATTCAAATGTTTCAAATTTATCCTCATCAAAATCAAGCATAAGATTTTTTAATGGCATATGATCCATATTTTAGAATCTTACATGTATGTGGTTTATCATTGATGTACATCATTATGTAATGAAGGTAAATGTTTATGCAAAAATAATGATGATGAAATTTAAGGATCCTATGAAAGTTCATATCATGTAAGCAAGTTGGGCTGATTTTGATGATCTACACAGGAAAAAAATGATTTAAAAAGAATTTTGGCTCTTGATATTGGACAGTTGGTTAGTCCAACCTTTTTCATGGGGTCTTCTTAATACTAGAGAGTTGATTGGTCCAACCTTAATCATGAAAATAGAAAGAATTCCTGACTTTCTACACTGGAGAGTTGGTTTGTCTCATATTTATCAAGAAATTGTTAATATAAAGAGGTCAAAGCCTATAAGCATGACATAACATTTTGAAGGCATTGTTCATAAAAAATGAGTTGGAGAAAGAAAACAAGAAGGTAAATGTCAAATTTATATTCATGCAACAGATATATTTACTCTTTAATACTGTTAATTAGTAACTCATGTATTGAATTAACATCCACTACATTGAGCTTAATATATTTGAATGTTAATGCTTTTTTACTCGTACAATTAGTATGATATTTTAAGTTATTCTCTTGTATATTTGAATTTTATGTTAGAATTATTTATCTCATTAACTATTTGATGCTATGTAATTGTTGGAAAAGGAAGTGATACGCAGAATAGCAGTCGGGTGACTAGTTTCGCTTTGTACACCAATATTTTGAATATATGATTTTGGGTACATTGCAAAGATATTTTTGATATAAATTAAAGAACTTGATATATATGAATTTATTTTAGAAGTTATATTAGAAGCTCTGTATGTGACTTGATGATTTTAATAATATAGCTTCCATTTAAGTCTTATGGTGGATATATCAGTCTATCAGATGAGTGTTAAAGGTCTAGTATACGTTTGGAATGATGGAGCCAACTATTTTTCACTCTTTCAATCTTGATGAGTAAATCATGATTGGTGTTGTTGTGAACTATATTTGATTGAATTATCTGTTTCTATTAAGCCTCATGATTGCTTGAAAGGGAGGTAAATATGAGGTGTGACAGTGACCATAAGCTAAAGGTTGCAGTTGTGAGCATTGGGCCGTGGGGAGTGGCCAATGTGCCCTAATCGTGGGAGAAATGTCTAGCCCTACACTAGGAGGAGCCTTGATGGCGCTTCACATGAGATGGCAAAGGCCGCATACCACACTAGAGATGCACTTGTGCCCCAATATGAAATCGAAGGATTGGAAGAGCCAAGTTCTAAGGTTCATGTGGTTCAACAGGGGCCTTTTACGGTCCAATCAGCATCATTGCCCTAGTGATTTGTTTATGCAGGCTGAGGTTCTATTTAGTTCTTTTGTTGGACATGCTAGGTTGGTGATTTGTCAGGTGCCTACTGTTTTCGTCATCTCCATGGGCTAAATTCCTTGGATCTATAGTTTCAGTTGAAAGCTGAGGTGATTCTAGAAATTTGTGGGAAATCACAAACTCTTAGAACTTCACACCATTCAAGGAAGAGAAAATCAAAGTGCATAACTGTACATTGTTCTATGTGGACACGTGGTTATTGTGAGCTTGGTTTGTTTAGCGTTTCTGCATTTGATTTTCAATTTTCTTGTGCATGGTAGTTGATTTTTAGCATTTTTCTCTCTGTAAATTTCCTTCTTAATCTGTAACCAAAAAGAAATTTTAATTATGAAATTTATTCTTATTTTTCTTTCAGCAAGCTTTGGCCTTGTTGCAAGCAAGGGCTCGAAATGAGATCGGCAATGTGCATAGAGTCATGATGACTAAAGATGCCGAACTTAGTGCATCTAAAGACAAGCTTTCTGGACTAAAGGAGGTTTCTTTAATATTTCCAGTTGATGCACATCTTTTCTACCAGACATCCCAGACTGTTCGAATCTTATTTTACTGTGTTTTGCTTGCAGGTTCAACTCCAATTCCGTGTCAATGGAGAAATTGTTGAAGTTGCTGGAAGCTTTAATGGTTGGCATAAACAGATAAAAATGAATCTGCATCCGTCATCTAAAACTGTTGATTTACAAGGTTCCAGGTTGTCATTTTTGTTTATTCTTTCATCCTTATCTTGTGCTTTTGAAGTTTTTAATCCGGTTAGCATGAGTGTACATTTCTATTCATCTCTAGTAGAAGACTAACATGAAAGTGCATCTCCGCCTACAGCTTTGTGAGTAGCTCTAGTGCATTTCTGTAGAAGGCTCTAGATATCACATGCTGTTGCTTCAGATTATTTCCATTGAAGGCTCTAGGGATACTCCAACCTTTACATGTCTATACTCATTTTGTATTGTCTCTAATTGTAAAGCCACTCATCCACTTGAGCATCCTCATATCTGCAACACTTAATTTTATGCTTCTCTTTTAATGGTCAACATTCTATTGCATAAAGCATTGCAATTCTCACCACCATCTTACAAAATTATTCTGTATGTTTGAGGGGTACTTTTCTATCACATAACAGGCCTAATGCATTCCTCTATGTCAACCATTTGTCTTGAATTCTACTAATAATATCCCAATTTATTTCACCATCACTTTGAACAATAGATCTTAGATATCTAAAATATGCTCTCTTTCTAATGACTAGATCAGCCAAGCTAGAATCCCACTACTAAATCTATTACTACTAAATTTACACTATGTATTCAGTTTTATATTTACATTTAAATAATTTTTTATAACAAAGCATTTTATTTTTGATCGTTTTTTGCACATCTTGATCTACCATCAACTATTTTTATTATTGGAAGCTTTTTCTTTAAATGTTTCAAGCATATATTTTGCAATATTCTTAATATCACTAAATACTTTCTCTCTTCTAACATTTTCTTCCTCCTGAACGATCTAAATATTAAGATCTATAATCTTACTCTAAAAAAAATTTTATCGGCGTTTTTTAAATATCCTCATCTCACCATAGGACAGTATTTTATTTTATTTTTTATTTTCCATCCCTTTTATCTTAAAGTTCAAAATTAAAAAGCGATGCTAAATATATAAACCTCTGCTCGTAATAACTTTACAATTTTTCAATCTAACCAATCATTTTTTTTTATAAGAAAATAATCAATTTGAATTTTTTATTGTTCGACAATATTTACACTGGTATCGACTACCTAATGCAGCACTCCATTTTTCTCATCCAAGGCTTAAGGCCCAGTGGGCGGGCTTATGTATGTATGTATGTGTATATATATATATATATATACACACACACACACACTAAGCACTAAGCATTCAACATTCCTTATTTACTAAGCCGTAAGCATCAAGTGGAGGAAATAAAACCAGTGATGAGTCGAAGGAGAAGGAAGTCTGCCGCTAGGTTTTCTAGAAATTTTTTTTTTTTTGTATTTTACTAATCGGATCCATATTTGAGTGTAACCTTGGACCACTAATTTTGTTTTATGCCTTTCTAGTGAATTATCGTACTTAATATACATCTACATCTCATTTATTTCTTTCCTTTTAGTAATTTTATCAGATCCCATACTTTATTTTTTTAAATGGCATCAAATTTTTAACTCATAATCTTATTCTAATTTACATTGTTTAAAGCCTTAGAGATTATTTTAGGGATAAAATTTATATGCAGGTGAGCAAGGAAGTATTAGTGATATTGAGAAGGATTTTTATAATAAGAATAAGTATAAATAATGTTTAGTAGAAGTTCTTATTCCTTTGTGTGTTGGCTTAATGATATTTTTAGCAGATTTAGTGAAAGATATTGATTTGATTGATTAGACTTGTGTAGATTGAGATGTAATTCTTAAGTAAATTTGTAAGGGTTGAGTAGAGGCCCAATTCTATTTCAGGCTTGTTTGGTAGGAGTGATTAGTTTTAGAATACATTTTCTAGGATGAGGGTAGGATGGGCAATTTAGGAGGAAAAAATATTTATGAATGATATTCTTTTCTTTAGGATAAGTAGTGATATTCTTCATTGAAAGTGACATTAGCCCAATAGTAATATTTGTACCTTTTTTTGTGTAGTAGATTAGCTAATGATTACATTTACTTTCTCGAGGATCAAGTTTTTCTTTGGTTTGGAATATATGAACAATGAGAATACTTTCAATTTTTTTGGAACATGGTTGTTTTAGGTATAGAAGTATGGAAAAAAAATGTTCCCTATAGATGGTTGTTTAAAATTTTTTTGTGGGACTTTTGAATCAAATGTTCCCTATAGATGCATGAATATGATATGAGCGAATGTTAAAAAAGCTTTTCCCAACATTATTTAGGAATATTTTTTTTAAAGGAGAGTTCTTGTGGTAACATGTAAGTGATTGTTCTTTGGTTCATCCTCTCCATTTTGTTGGGGTGTATATACACAAGTGGTCTTATGTATTATTATTTTATTATTATTTATATAACGAAAGAGAATGGTTAAAATAGTTTATTTTCAACACCAAAATAATTTGTGTAAAAATCATAATATGTGTATAATCATCAATAAAGGGCACAAATCACCAAACCTTAAGGATGTTCGGTATGGAGACTAGTTTTCATATGTCACTAAAAATGAGAGAAATTATTAAGTGTTCTTATGTTATTCATTGAAAAATTAGTATATTTATATTTTCTATAAAATTCTCTAATAATGATTTTCTTGAATAATTAAGGAAACATGATTTTAGGAAAAATAAAGGATAGTTAGTCAAGGCATAGGTGTTGAAGCTAGATTTTCTTTTCATTGAATTTAAGGTTGCTGAGACCTGTAATGATTTATAGCATTGAATGTTGGTCATTAAAAAAGAAGCATAAAATTAAGTGTTGTTGAGATGAGGATGCTCAAGTGGATGAGTGGCTTTACTCTTAGAGATAGAATGCAAAATGAGTATATAAGATTAAAAAGAGTCGCCTTAGATGGTTTGGTCATTTAAAACATCTGTCGTTCAATGACCTGATTAGGAGAGTAGATGTATTAGATTTGGCCTATGCTAAAGAAATTTGGTTAGAAAGTATTAAAAATGATATTTTTTATTAGATTTGAATGATAATTTGAATATTAGTAGGACACAATGGAGAAAAATGTTTTGATGTTGTCGACCCCACACTAGTAAGATAAGGACACAATGGAGAAAAATGTTTTATGTTGTCGACCCACGTAGTAAGATAAAGGCTTGATGATGTTGATGTTGCATTTATGGGTTTTTGAGAGAAGATAATATTAAAGGTTATATGGATTATTTTTTATTTTTTGATTTCTCAATGTAATAATGATCATTCTTTTCCTTAGTAAGCCCAATCATTCTTCTCATGCCTTATTCTTGAAAGGCATGCTAAAAAGGATAAAAATATAACAATGCATTTAAAATCCTTAATTAGGTTTTAAATGGATAGTAGATGGATAAATAATTTAGGTACATAGAGAATATTTCAATGTGGGGGATTTCTGTATAAGAATATTTCCTTGGCTGCCTATAGTTGTTTAAGGATTCATCAACGTAGTTATATTTTTGTTACTGAGATATGGGGTATATGAAATAAATTTTGAGCAGAGCTGGTTAGATGATTCGTAGCTCTTGAAACAATGATCCAAAAGTTAAACATTGCCATCTATGAGACTTTAAAAGCATGAGAAAAGGATGTAATATATGAGAATGCTAGAGTGTAAGTATTTATTTCAATTTTTTTCGTATGTGCTCCTGTTAAGATTTTTTGTCATTAATTGCCTTTTAAAGAGCCCAATTTTCTTATTCTCTTTAAAAACTTGAGAATCAATCACATCCCCTTGAAATTGTTCTTTCTACCCAACTAATACATCGAATTGATGTTTTACAACTCTTCCATTAGATTTACATTGTATTTTTGAATTCTAAGAGTGCTCGAGATCAATGGTATTTGGTATTGTTATTGTTGTCCATAAAGATGGAAATAACAGTCTATTCATATGGTAAAAAAAAGAAAAGAAGGTTGACATCAATACTAGTGTCGTGGTCGAGTTGACCGTGCACGGCAAGTTTCGAAAGCAAATAGTGAGACGCTGCACAAAACCTGTTGGACACGAGTCAAACCAAAATCCAAATTACCGAAATGGCCTTCGTTCGCAAAATGGTCAGAGCTGTTTTTGTTGGCTTGAACATCCTGACGCTGTCCATGAAAATACTATTAGATTAACTTATATGAGTATGTTTTGATCTCACATGATATTTATCTTTTTTACTTTCATATTAAATTTCATGAAGACTGATATATCTTGTTCTTATGATTTATCATATAGAGCATCCAAATTATGGTCAACAATTTTGTGGCTCTATCCTGGAACTTACGAGGTAAGCTTAAAAAGTAGCATGTGTTACTTTTTGCTATTAATTGTTCAGAGAAGGATTCTCCTTACATGTAGCTATCATCCCATGAATTATGCCAGTAGGAAATAATTTAATGAAATGACCATTTTGGAAGATTCCATCTACTCTATTTCAAATACTATTTTATTTCATTTTATTTTTCTGTTGATTCATTTATCAATTTGTTTTACTGGGTGTGATGTGCACTACACATTGAATACCTTTTGAATTTGTTTGAACAGTCCAATTTGAATTGATTCTTGTAATTAAAATGAATTAAAATTCTAAAAGGACATGCAAAAGAATGATGAGGATAGCTTATTTACTCCCCATCATATAACGGGTCAATTTGTACCTGCATTTAAGTTGGTTTAAAATTAGATATTTTGTATTGAGACATATAATTTTAATAATAGAACAACATTCATGTTCAAGATGAAAAATAAAACCTCTTAGAGGTGAAATTTCATGTTGGCAGATAAAATTCATTGTTGATGGTCAATGGATGATAGATCCTCAGCGAGAGGTTGCAACCAATGGTCACATAACCAACAACGTCCTTAGGGTAGACAGACGAGACATCCACTGATTCCATCTTCAAGCCATCTCAGCCTGTATTCACTCTATCCATTTACTGTTATTCATTCATTATCTTGAAGAGAATTCAAATATCTTCATTCTAAAAGTTTTTTTTTTTCTCTTTCCAATCCAAACTATTACAGTTTGTTTCGACTTTCGATTCCGTTCATCATGATTTATGGCAACCGATCAGGATCGAAAGCTTTTGCAGATTGAATATTATATGAGGTAGATTCTATGGTAAGGTCCTGCAGCAATAATTCATATTTTTAGTGCAAATGATCACACACTTCACTGGAGAAAGGCTTCAGCTTCATTCATCTCCCTGATTTTTTAACTGGTCTCACTTCAATTACTTCGCCTTATGGAAGATATCAAATGTTTGTTTCTTTGTGAAATTGTCTTCTGTTTCTTGTTCTGTAGATTAGCTGTAAATGAGTTGTATGATCCATTATCAGCTCCTGCTAACAAATTATCTGTAATTCCCTGTTGTTATTTTATAAATAATGTGGCAGCTCATCCACTTGTTTACTTAACCAGGTTTATCTCATTGTGTAATTTTGAACCTATCTTTCCAATGTGTGAAGAGCAACAATATTTAGAGGATTTGATCAGAAGTTATTGTCATTTAATCTTATGCTAGTTTTACTGCAGGTGCCTTTGGTGCTCCCTGATAGGACATTATAAATCAATAAAAAATCATTATAAAGTTTATAATACTAATGACTATTATAATATTGTTATATTTATAGTTTTATTAGTATTAAGACTATAATGAGATGATTATATTGAGAATGGAATTTTATTGTATTAAGGTTTTGTTTGGAACGGCTTTGTTACTGTTTCTTAAGGTAATTTTTTGGTATAAAAATTTTAATTTTTAACTAGGAAGCCGTCTTAAGAAGCAGTAAGAAAGCCGTCCTAAACAATGTCTAAGTCCTCTAAATGCATATTACCACTGTAAAATAAAGTAGCACTTTGAGTTAAGTAACTCTGAAAAGATAGCATAGTCATCTAAATTAAAGGCAGTAGAAGTGAAAAATTCAAATGATGACACAATTGCCTTATTTAACAAAGGCATGTTTTCTTTTTTATCCTTGTAGTCTGAGAGAAAAAAAGCATATGCTCTGCTGCAATAATCATAGCTAGTGCCAACAACATTTGCCTGCTCTCTTCTAGTTGTCTTTATTCTGGATTAGCAATAAAAATCTTCTTATGGACTATATTAAGATGAACAAAGGATCCAATAAGGTATGAGAAGTATCAGCAAAATTGTATCGATGAATTGCATGATTTTGCAGAATACATTTGAAGAATGGAACATTTATGTGGTCCTACAGCAATAGTTGATAGAGGAATGATGTGGACACATGCCGGCATGCGACCTGGCGGTCAGATGCGGGCAAATTCGTTTTTGAGTCATTCTGGGTGAACCCAAATCCGACCCGATATTTTGAAACGGGTCGGTTTGCTGAACTCGAAGCCGACCCGTTTCACAAACGGGTGGACCCTAATCCGGAATTTTTTAGTCGGGGTAGAGTCGAGTTTTCGAGTTGTCAAATATTGACACCCCTAAAATGAAACACATGCATATAACAAATTTCATGGAGCAATGCTTCAGCTTCATTCATCTCCCTGATTATTGTTATGGATGCCTTGGCATTGAAGAAAAGGGGATTAAATTCTGGATTCTCACTGTAGTAGGGATGTTCTTCTTTATGGTTGTGTGGAGTTGTTTTGCATTGTAAGGTTTGTTTGTTTTTTTAAAACTCTCTAATATATTGTGCAATTTAACAGATTGTGGTTTTCGAGGGGCAGAAAGCTTATGATGCATTGAGGCTTGTAAAAGCAGTGAAAGTTGGCTAAAGGTCTTTGAATTTTGAAGTCTATTAGAAAGCTATAAGCCACCTTTTAGTACCTTTTCTATTCAGCTTTGGAGCATAAGATATTTGTCTAGCTGCTGCCTTTCGCGTAAAGAAAATAGCTTAAAATGTGTGCACTGTTTCTGTAATGAGGCAATCTAACATGAGAAGCAACAAAAAAAAAAAAAATTTTCCCAACAAAATTTTAATGTTAGTCTATTTTCAGTCAAATGAAAAGTTAATCAGTGAAGCATTTGTTTAGGTTTAATTTTGGTGGTACAAACAAGGTTTTGGAGTCCAATGAATCTTCATTGTAATTGCATTTTCTTATTTAAATTTTCATGGAAATTGATAAATTATATTTAAAATATGTTGTCACTAATTTTATAAGTAATTTGTTTGAGTAAAAATCATCACTAATATCTTTTTAAATAATAGTGGTAAGAAATGATTCAAATATAATTGCTATTATTTTTATGGATTATTATGTTTGATAAGGATGTTATGTAGCTACGTTTATTTATTGGGTTCACTTTTTTCATTTCAAGGCAAAGATAAATATTATAACTTCTAGCTTTAAGCTGGAGTTGCATGCTTGTATATGTCTATTTAGGTAACTCTAAACAAGTTTGGAGCACAAATCAAAGCAACACATAGCCCAAAGGAGGCATTGCCCTATAGGACAATCGTTAGTATCAACCTTGAAGCAAATAAACCACTCACCCCTATGAGCTTGTAACTAGTGGGGTTAGACTCTAGAGACACTCATTCTCTATGGGTTCACTTGAAGGACTCACAAAGATGCGCCTTGAAAATTAGTAGTTTTTCAAAATCAAGGTCACTTGCTTTTTGAAAATATTGCATATCATCTATAGGAAGCGCAAATTTTCGAAGACTCCATTGGTAGAACGCATCTCTAGCTCGGTCATTTGCACCCAAAGGACTCTCCATTACTTTTGAGGTCATTTGACTCGTTCTTATCATTATACATGCGAGTTCTTGAAAACTCGCTCAAAGCCTTATAAATAAGGGTTGAAGAGACATGTTTTTGACTTCATATTGTTTAAACTATTCCATAGGTATAATAAAGCTTTTATAGTTACTTTACATGCTCACCCATTTCTTCTCTTGGTTCTTTAGCTCTAACTGGCTAAAACCTATTAATATGATTGTGTGTTGCATATGAAAAGATCCAACATCCTCTAATATGTAGTGAGCATGGATTGATGCTAGTGATTAGAAGATAAGTAACATGAAGAGCAATAGAACTAAAATCATCAATGAACATGTAAAACCAAAATTTCACTAATTGACACATCATTATGGAGATAGAGAAGATAATCACTAAGATGATTCAAGCCACATTGGGGCAAGTTCAAGGGAATGCCATTAGAGTTGTATTGTATGATCCCAATCGTCATTGTATGATATATTAATCTAAAAATCAAATCAAGTTTTTAATTAAATTGAATCATAATTGATCGTACTGTAATACATGCATATTGTATGACCTGTAATCGTACATGACGATCAATTTTTTTTATAGAACCTTGACGTTGAAGGTTTAAAGAACAATTTATTAACCATAAGTCAGCTTTGTGATAAAGATTTTGAGATGAAACTTCTTTCTATAAAATGTTTATTAATGTTGAATTGTGTTAGAAGGTTTAAAAATTAATGATATTTACATGATTATTGCATTGATAAGCCTAATGATGTTTGTTGTTTGAAATCCACTATTGATGAATCATGGTTGTGGTATAAGAAACTATGTCATGCAAGTATGAGGACTTTTAGGAAAATCACCCAATTGGAATTGGTTAGAGGTAGTTATAAGCTAGAATTCTCAAAAGAACATTTTTGTGATGCATACTAGCTAGGGAAGCTAGTTAAGTCTTCATTTTAATCCATTAAGGATGCAATTGCCACTATGCTATTAGAAGTGTTTCATATGGATTTGTTTGTACCTATTAGTGTAATGAGTCTAGGAGAAAAATCATTTGGATTTGTAATTGTTGATGATTATTTGAGATTTACTTGGGTTAAGTTTCTTAGAAGTAAGAGTGATTCATTCAAAGAATTTAGAACGTATTCAGTCTGTATTTAACACAAAATAAGTTATTTAATTTCTATAATTCATAGCAATCACGAAGGATAATTTGAGAAGAGGTTTGAATTAATTAATCAATAATATGGGATAGAAAACTTTTTTTTTTTGCCCCAAGAACCCCACAACAAAATTGTATAGCTGAAAGGAAGTATAGAACATTGGTAGAGGCTGCAAGAGAAATACTTAGCGAGTATAGTCTACCTAAGTACTTCTAGGAAAAAGCAATGAGTACTTCTTGTTATGTTCTAAATAGGATAAACATAAGGTTTAAGTTGGGTAAGACATCATATGAATTGCTCAATAGTAGAACACCAAATTTGTCTAATCTGCATTTTTTTGGGTGTAAATGCTTTGTTTTAAAGAATGAAAAATCGCATCTGGGAAAATTTGATGCAAAGACAGATCAAATAGTTTTTCTAGGATTTTCCTTAGTAGGTAAGACATGATATTTAATACAAGAATCTTAGCTGTTGAGTAGTCCACCAATATTACATTCGATGAATCTGATAAGGTTTTTGAATATAGAAGAATTAACGATGAAGAAGAAGATATCACTAATAGAATTGAGAATATGGGAATTGAAGATAGATAAGAAATTCAAGTCCTCTACTTAGAGAATGGAGATATGTGTCTAGTCATCCTAAAAATCTTATCATAAGGACTAATCCACAGAAGTTAGGACTATGCATGGACTTAGGGATGAAATTAGCCACACAAATTTTATCTCTATGATAGAGCCAATAGTGTAGAATATGCATTGAAAGATGAATTCTAGATTATAGCAATGCAAAAATGAATAAATCAATCAATCAATCAATTTATTAAGAATGATTGGTGAGAGTTAGTGGCTAGACCTATTGATCAAAGTGTTGTTAGAATGAAGTGGGCATTTAAAGATAAACTAAATAACTCTAGATCAGTTGTTAAGAATAAGGCTAGATTAGTAACAAAGTGTTACAACCAAATAGAAGTGATAGATTTTAATGAGACATTTTTTCCAGTAGCTATATTAGAAGCTATCAGGGTACTGCTAGTGTTTGCTTATTTTAAGGGATTTAAGTTGTATCAGATGGATGTGAATAAAACTTTTTTGAATGGGATAATTAAGGAAGATATTTATGTGGAACAACTTTTAGGTTTTGATAGTTCAACCTTTTTAGATCATATTTATAAACTGCATTGTATGGGATAAAAAAAGCACCTAGGGCGTAAAATGATAGGCTTAGTACTTTTCTCTTAGAAAAATCCTGTGTTAAGGGCACGATAGATAACACATTATTTTTCAATATGATTGGAGATGATATACTCATTATGCAATATATGAAGGTGTTATTCTTTTTTGATCCACCGAGGATAATCTATGCAAAAAAATTTTATTCCACTATGAGTATTATTGAATTCAGTTTTGTCTTATTCATGATGTCGAGTTACACTTTATTCTACCTATGGATTGAGAGCCTGTGAGGGAGAAGGTAATGAAGTATGAATATGAGGAAAAAGAGACAAGACAGTAGACAGTGTAGATCTAGACAAAATTTTTATCATCTAAGCCAGAGATACAAGAGTAATAAAAGCGATAGCTCTAGACTATAGAGCTTTAGTTAAGAAAGAGAAGATTGGCATAATATATCTCTTCTCTTGTGGGTTTTATCATGTGTTTGGTTATGTATTCTCTTATGTGCCAACCCCCTCTCTTCCTCATGTTTTCTTTCTATTTGTTGCTTCTACACCTTTAATAGGGTTCAAAAAGATACTTGGAATATATTTTGGGTATGGTGGCTGCTCCATCAATCTTTATTGTAGTTTGGCCATGAATGCCAAGTGGAATGGAGATTAAAAAAGATAAGTTGAGTGAGCTTATGGAAACTTGTGGATGTCACTTGGAAGCTAGTCCTGAATTCCCAGTTGAGATGAGAAGGGGAGGGCATCGTCGGAGTGTGGTCAGGAGAACAGACTGGCGTAGAGTGAGAAGATAATTTGGGGTTGCCCTATTAAGCTAAGAAAGTGCAAGTAGTGTCTTGATGGGGCTTTCAGATTGACCTAGTTGTGGGCTTTCAGATTGACCTAGTTGTGAGAGATGTCTATAGAGATGATATGTGTGAAATTTCTTAAGTAAAAAAGAAGATAAACTCTTAAACATCGAGGCATCTTTTGATGTAATAGTTAGAATTTCATTAAGAAACTTTTTAGTTAAGTATGCTCATCTAAGAGAAACCCTAAGATGAGCGACCTTGTTGTAAGTTATGCAAACAAGACAAAATTGTAAGGCCCTTAGGCCAAAGAGAAAATATCTCGATAGTTAGGAGTTTGAGTTATTACAAATGATATCTAAGCAAAACACCAACAAGATGATTGGAACTAAGTGCCATATAAGATAATATGCAACAACATGAGAGGCACCTCTTGAATCATGTATGGAAAATGGTGCTACGTGGCGGGAGTCATTACTTGAACTTGTAGGGACAACCTCTAGAATTTTGTATGTATGGTGGATGATTATGAGATAAAGATACTAACGAGGGCGTCAATTACTTAAGTGGGGGAAAAAGAAGCTAAAATCTTAAATATCAAGGAGTCTTTTGGTTTAATACTTAGAATTTTATTAAGAAACTCTACAGGTAAGCATGCTCATACCAGAGAAATCCTACGATAACTGATATTTTGAAAAGCTATACCAACATGATAAAACAGTGAGGCCCTTAGACCAAAGCGGATAATATCTTGATAGTTAAAATTTTAGTTTATTACAATACGAGCCATTAGCTGTTTGATGTATCTCATACAAGA